TGTGAGTAAACAAAGACAAATGTGATACGAACATTGCTGTGCAAGCAGAAAGGATCTTTCTGTGTGAAAGTGGGAGTTAGACAGGGAATGGCTATGGTCAGCATTTTCTCCCACCAAATTCTGAATGAGTACTGCACCATTTCTGGCAAAAAATATTTAGCTGTGGGAACAAAAATTTAAAAACGACCGATACTTTTGCACAAATGAGTAACAGGAGTTCACAGGCAAAATTGAGCTACTATATTAATTACAAAAATGTGTTATATGTGTGCTCATATGTGAAGTGTGCTCATATCTTAATGTCAATTACGGTACTTCCAAATAAATTTTGATGAAGTAAGAATTTCAGCCTTGGGATTTGCAAGAACTTTTCTGGTAAATGCAGGAGGAACTCTACCTAGTTTTCTGCCTTATTAAAACCACACTGAAAGTTCCTTAGTGTTTTAAATATAATTTAAAACTAAACACCATTTTCTTCTTTCTCAACTTTCAATTTCTCCATACAGAAAGCATGTTTGATATACTACACTGGATTTGTGTTACTAATGCTTTTGAAATCCACAACTGAACTGAAGAAAACATGCCATCATAACACAAAAGTCAACCATTTTAGTAGCTATGAAAACACAATAATTATTTTTCAATCTAGGTATGTGACTGTCCAACCACTTAAAATATACTATAAATCACCTATGCCTGGAGATCTTCCTTTAAAATAAACCTTCCAAGAATTAAACCTCATTTATAAAAATATAAAAATCCTAGTATTTTCAAGCACCCTAGGTCAGATTTAAATGCATGTATTTTAATTCACCTATTTAGCATCTATTTAATTTCATTCATCTTCCCAAATAAATCACCAGTCATACATTTCATAGCAGGCATGAATAAACGATAATCATTCAGTTCATTGAGCAGAAATAGTGACCTACTAATTCAAATACTCCAGATAATCCATTGATTTCTCACCAGTCAGACTTCTCTCACATTTGCCAGTTTTTTGCATTCCAACAGCTCATTTATCAGGAATCTAGTTCTGGATTCTAGTTGTACTTTAGGAAAAAAAAAAATCGGCAACCGCATCCAGTTTTACAAAGTACAGCTCATATTCTGCCACGCTGTAGTCCACAGAAAGTTTATTAACTTAAGATGAACCGTCAAATAAAAACACTAACACAGCATCAGGTCTAAATAAAAGAGATGCAGCTACATTTAAAGCTCCACTTTCAAGGATAAGTACTTAATAGTGATTCAGAAATATTTTACGTGTATACTTTGAAGCAATTTAGAGAACTATTTGAGTAAAGCTTTCAGAGTCAAACTACTAATGCTCCCTATAAGAAGGAATGGGTTGCCAAAGGAGGTGGTGGAGTCACCATCCCTGGATGTGTTTAAAAAACATCTGGATGTGGCACTGCAGGAGATGGTTTAGTGTTAGGGTAGTGTAGGGCTGTAGGTTGGATTTGATCTTAAGGTCCTTTCCAACATTTATGATTCTATGATTCTATTCTGTTCTAAGAAGAAAGTTCCAGTTATATTACATATCTAACAATCAACTTGTAAGCACTTGCACTATCAAATGTTAGGAAGTGACTGAAAGGAAAGGTGGGCATCTTTCTTTGCCTGGTTTCACGCGGAAAGAAGGCTTATGCAATGCTGTACTCTCTGCATACGCATGCAATCATTTGCTTGCCCTCTAATTCCTTTTGCATTTGCTGATCACTATAAATCAAATTTGACAGGCTAAATATCTCAAAGATACTACGTTTCTATGAGCTTTGGGAAAATAACTAAAGCAGGGTAAAGAAACTGGCCAACAGGAGCTCTGTCCTTATTAGAAATCAGTAAATTTACACAGGACAGACAACGAAATGGCCATCTAAGAGTTTTGAACTTTCTTGTTAGGACACCATCCTCCACCTGCTTGAAATACAAACAGTAGTAGACTAAGCACTTATGAAACTTTAAAACTCTAATTGTTTCTGGATCTTTCTCTGAGCTTTGAACTTGGGATGGATACTTCACCATAATACTGAAACTGGAGAGGAATTAAACAACCAGCGTGCTCTTTGACCTGCGGATCTGATGAACTTGGCCTTTGGGAAAAAGCTGTCTAAATCCCACTATTGTTTAATTCTATTTTGCAACTATCCTTGAAATCTGCCCAAAATGGAGCATTCTCTGGTGACAGACCTAGGGGCGAAAACCACTTGCCTGGTGTCATCTGTCCTGATGGACTCTGATGACATGTGTGAAATGCCATCACCTTCTGTGCCATGACAAAATACCCAGCTGTTGTGTAAACAAGGATCAGCAAAATTCTATATCAGAAGTGTACTTTCAGTTATGGGACAGGGAATTTAGTTTTCAGGTGCCTTTGTAAGAGGCTCTGGGGCCTACTCCAGCTGAAAGGTTCGTGATTTCTTACATGATACATTAAATTCCGCTTAGTTACCTGTTCCGTGACTACAAGAAAAGTCAACTTGCAGGATTCTGAGTGAGAAAAACAAATAAATAACCTTTTCAGCCTCTCAGAAAAATTAGGTGCTGTGGTCACTGAGTTACATCTCAAAAAAAGTATCAAATTTGTGTCTGGGATATCATAGCTACTTCCAAGCACTGCTATCCGTTGGATATCACGGTATATACTGATGAAATTAAATTTCAGTGTAACGGTTACAAAAAAAAAAAAAAGAAATCACTAGGAGGCAGTAAAAAACCACAACCCACTAAATTTCATCTTTAAGCATGGAAAATATTATTATATTTTTCAAAGTGAAAATAATTATAATAATTTAATTATTTAATATGAATGAAATCTACAAGTTATTTTAGCCATGAACGAGCATCCATCTTGTATGTGTGAAAGCAGATACTTTGGCTTTGATTATTATTCGACAGTGTGCATGGGACAGCTTTCAAAGACTACTCTACCCATCTAATGCAGCCCATAATATTTTCATGTATAAGTAGGCTACATATGCTATAAATATTCATATATATATATAAACCTATTTATACAAACATATAGCAATCATTTTGTCAGTATCCAGACATAAGAGCTATACTTCTATGTATAACTGTATGTCTGCAAATCACATTTCGTTGACCAACTGGGAACTGCTGAAAGTAGGAAAAGTGGGTGGATGGAAGAATTGAGATAAATACTCACTACTGTTTTTCACAGAATCATAGAACAATTCAGGTTGGAAAAGACCCTTGGGATCATCGAGTCCAACCACTGACTCTACACTACAAGGTCACCCCTAAACCATATCACCCAACACCACATCCAAGCGACACCTGAATACATCCAGGGATGGCGACTCAACCCCCAGGCAGTCTGTTCCAGGGTCCCCCCCAAGCCAGTCTATCCCAGTTTCTGACCCCTCCTTCCGTGAAGAATTTCTTCCTAATGTCCAGCCTAAACTTGCCCTGTTGCAACTTGCAACCATTCTCCCGGTTCTGTCCCTAATTACCTGTGAGAAGAGACCAGCACCAACCTCTCTACAATGTCCTTTCAAGTAATTGTAGAGCATGATGAGATCCCCCTTCAGCCTCCTCTTCATCAAACTGAACAGACCCAGCTCCCTCAATCGCTCCTCATAAGGTCTGTTCTCCAGGCCCTTCACCAGCTTTGTTGCCCTCCTCTGCACTCGCTCCAACACCTCGATATCTCTCCTATACTGAGGTGCCCAAAACTGAACACAATACTCAAGGTGCGACCTCACCAGTGCTGTGTTTTCTAATAATCTTTATCACTTTGCTTGTTCACAGCCACATCATAAAAAATGTAAAGCATATATTCTATTATCTTGCTCTGGTTTTGAAGCTTCTGTGGTTAAGTAGATTTATAAATAACTACACTCTGAGACTTAAGAACTGAAACCCTTGATTTTCACAGACAGATACCATATAAACAGTAGTTCTGCTCTTTTCCCATGCTTCATTTTTGGCAAGGTCTCAGCAGCCATTAACTTACAGACAGATACCATATAAATAGTAGTTCTGCTCTTTTCCCATGCTCCATTTTTGGCAAGGTCTCAGCAGCCATTAACTAATAAACTGAACCCAAGATCAATGTTTTAAATCATTTTACAGCTGTGATTACAAACTGCTTTCATTTAATACTTAGGGTTAGTTTCTAGCAGTTCTCAAGGGAGTTACTGCTGAGATCACGCTAGACTTGAAAAGGATAAATTCAAAATTGTCACCTGAATGGCATGATTTTAAGACACAATCTCTTTCAAGTTGCAATAACTATGCATATGTGCTTGCTGTCAATGTAGGAATCTCAGTTTTATCAATGACAGAATCTTGGTTTTCCAACAACTTAAGGCATCTGTGGCTAGAGCCTTGATGATTAAGAAATATGAGGCTCACAAGGATCATTGTTCCTTTTACACAGAATCCTTTCGTAGTATAGGTAGCATTATATATCCTAGACCTATAATCAGTGTGGTAGTCCTGGTTTAAAAATGTGAGACAAATAATGTAAAAAAAGACAGAAAGTAGGTGAAAATAAAAGAAAGGAAATAAAGTGAAAAGTTTCGTGACGGACCCAGAAAAATTAGAAAGGGCATTCTATTATTAGCTTAATAAACTAGTCACTCAAGCATGTTATCTACCTGTAAAGAAACCTGACTGTAAAAACTGACTGAAGTCAAAGTGATTAATCACAGCGTACAAAGTCTGATAAAATTATGGACTAAAACATTAAATATCAAGGCAAATAACAGATAATTCTATTGAAAGCACATCTTTACCTCATTTTAGAAAAGATGTTGCATGAAACTATCAGGGCCCCAAAGATAGTACCTACACATTTCAAAATTGCAAGTTTGATTAATTTTAAGATTTGCGATTTTCTGGAAGAATAGTTCTTTAAAAATGAAAGTTGTTCCACGGTATTTGCACAGTTGATACTGTTCAATTATGGATGTATGCTATTAAGGGAGGCTGCAAAGGCAGAGTGGATAGTTTCAACTAAGCCATCTTACCTGTTACCGTTTTTGTTTTGACAGGACTGCTGGCATACTCAGAGGCTTGATTTGATTGCTGCCTTGCCAAAGGTGCACTTCCAACTGATGCTTCATCCTCCTTTTTTCGAGTTACTGACACACCAAGTGGAACTGCTCCTACAGGCTGCTAGAAAAAGAAGTGCCTTGTGAACCACTCAAAACCAAAAGACATTAATACTGAATTATGACACTGTGATGAACAGCCTATCTTAAATGTCATATTTTGGAATGTAGAGAAGACAATTTGAAATAATGGCTGGAGCACATATATTTTGAAAATATGAAACACTACATTCAGACTTCTACATGTAATTATTTTCACAGAATCACCGAGATTGGAAAAGACCTTTAGAATCATCAAGTCCTGAGTTGGTAGACAGGGATGGGGAGCAGAACACCCCTCCTGTAATTCAGGAAGAAGTAGTTAGTGACTTGCTGTGCCAGTTAGATCGCAACACGTCTATGGATTCAGACGGGATTCATCCTAGGGTGCTGAGAGAGCTGCTGCAAGAACTGGCTAAGCCACTCTCTATCATTTATCACAAATCCTGGCTAACTGGGGAGGTCCCAGATGACTGGAGGTTGGCCAACGTGACACCTACACACATAAGAAGGGCCAGAAGGAGGACCTGGGGAACTATAGGCCTGTCAGCCTGACCTCAGTGCCTGGCAAGGTTATGGAATGGATCATCCTGAGTGCCATCAAGCAGCATGTAGAAGACAACCAGGGGATGAGGCCCAGCCAACATGGGTTTAGGAAAGGAAGGTCCTGCCTGACCAGTCTCATTTCCTTCTGTGACTGGGTGACCTGTCTAGTGGATGACGGGAAGGCTGTGGATGTGGTCTACCTTGATTTCAGCAAAGCCTTTGACACAGTCTCCCACAGCATCCTCCTGGAAAAGCTGGCAGCCCACGGCTTGGACGGATGCACCCTTCACTGGGTGAAAAACTGGTTGGATGATCGGATCCAGAGAGTGGTGGTGAATGGTGCTGCACCCAGTTGGCATCCAGTGACCAGTGGCATCCCCCAGGGCTCACTACTGAGCCCAGTCCT